TATGATACAAACAGTTTAACTATGTTTTGGGTTCTTGAAAAGCCTGATTATTGTTTCTTGATAATTTATTATACTCTAGAAGCTTGAAAATATAAATAGTTGTCGAATAAAGCTCAATATTTTGGACACAAAAATGTAAACAAAGGCTTTGTTTACATACGGACTGTAGATCACCTTTAACTAATTTTTTCAGTTTTTGTTTAAGACCGTAATTATGAACAAAAATATTTTGTTCAGTAAGCATATTATGTGTCCAGTAATGTACATTAGTTTAATTAATGTTTTGAATACTTTTGAAAAACCATTTCTATAAGGTTAACAGAGTAAAATGTCACTTACATACAGCTCATCTCCCAATGTGTAGAACCATTATTTACGCTTATCTACTGATAACCAGCCAAACATGTGTTAGTTTTTTTATCATTTCATGTTAACACAACCACGATTACATTAATTGTTAATACACCAAAGTTCATTTCTCTGTTCCACTATGGCATCAAAACTCATTTCTAGCAGTGCATTTAATGCTGTAAAAGGAACATCATCTGTTACCTCAAATGATGCTTCATCATCCAAACTCATTTCATTAATGGCTAGTATTGCAAGTTCTTCATCAGTTCCAAGGTCATTCCAATCCTCAGGCAGTAAGTATTCCTCTTCATCTGAAAACAAGTCTTCAGGATTTGCATGGAAATGCATGTCATTCATATCACAAAACACATTTTGTAAAATGTTGAACACTTTATACGCATGATGTATATCCCAAATTTCCACATGATTGCAAATATCTTCAATTGTAAAAAGCTTGTCAGCATTATTGATCACTTGTGAGATCTGAATATTAGAGAATCCAAGTACAAATTTAGATTTTGTGGGCTTTGTTCAGCTAAATTGAGAGATGGGATACGTTATTGCTGGGGGTGCGGCGGTGATCAAACTCGAGTTGGCCCACCGGTCGCACTTCGGAGCCTTCAACTAGTGGTGACACTAATCAGCAAGAGAATAAGGCAGATAAGTCAGAAACAGCTAAATCATCATTTGGTAGGCCACAAAGTGTCGCTCATGGAAAAGTGCTAACATTTGAGCAGTTCCTGAAGAAGAAAACTAGCAAGGAGAACGTTACTCATTTTCGACCAACTAAAAAGGCAAAGTCTGACCCAAATGAATTGGTGATGGTGTACATCGGGATAAAGAGATTCAAGGATGGCTGTCTGAAAACTGTTAAAGGAAAAAGACTTCCTATTCGAGTTCCAAAGTCTGCTACCTGTAGATTAATTTTGCAAAAAGCAACTGAGAAAATGATAGCTTTTGACAGGTCCTTTGATGCTAATGAAAGGTATGATTTGCTGTATGAAGATGGAAGCACTGCACTTTTTACGCCTGGAACCAAAGATTTCTTTGAACTGGAAAAGTACAGGTTTGAACTGGGGAGGGACTATAAACGAATTACCTTTTATTTGTGCACCCAGTCCGATATTGATCTGAATGAGGGAATGGTGGAATCCTCTAACGAATTTGATGAAGTGAATGAAGAAATGGACTCTTCTGTACAAACTATCTTCATTCCATTCTTGCTGAACCAATGGGAGGTAATGTGTCACCTGGTGATCCAGGTACAAGCCAGAAGGGACAAGATACATGTACAAGTCAAGATGAACAGATAGCAAGACAGCTTCAGCAAGAATGGAATGAAGATATTGAGCTTGCTTCCACTTCAAGTTCACATCAAGGAAACGATTCAGACAGTACTCTACATGTCACAAGCACTTTGATTAAAGATAAGCAAGATGTAATCTATGCTCTTTCTTCACAAGTGGAAGGAAATGATCAGTTTTTCATAGCTACTCGACGAAAAGCTCCACTTTCAAGAATTTTCTCCCTTTGGCAGCGCCAGACTAAAAAAAAGTCACCAACCTGTAGAATTATGGTAAAGTATAGTGGCGAAGCAGGAATCGATTCAGGAGCAATTGCAAAAGAGTTCCTTGAAGACACAATCGAAAACATAGCAGCAACTTTATTTAAAGATGGTGTTCCTGTTAACTCTACACATCATGTGCAAAACGGGGATTTTCGTACCTGTGGTGAGATGGCTGCTGCTTCACTAGCCCAAGGTGGACCACCACCATGCTTTTTAGATGAATGTGCTTATAACAGCATTTTCACGGAAACAGATTTGACAAATGTCGATGAAAAAGACTTGGCTGAAAAAGAAAAGGTAACACTTGCTAATATTACACTTGACTGTACCAAGCATTCAGATTTCATAATAGAGCACGGCTACACAGGAGTTGTCGACCAGAAGTTTATCCAGGATATTATAAATTCATTGAAGGTCAGATTTGTTAGCGATCGTATGCTATACATGCAAGAGTTCAAGAAAGGTTTGGATGTCTATGGTCTTGGGGATATGATCGAGACGAATCCTGATGCGTGTCGTCCTCTTTTTGTCAAGGATTTCAAGAAGGATTTGGTTCCAGATGCAGATTACCTTTTCTCCTTGATGGAGCCTATTTTCTCAGAAGAAGGATCTACAAAACGTGTCATTGAGGAGTCTATAATGGATTATATTCAAGATGTTTTGATTGCCCTAGACGACACGCCAGTGTCAGGGTACCCAGCTGCAGTAGCTTGGAACCGCGACGAATCTGAAAATGATGTACCCACATCCGAAGAATTGTTTGAAACCGCAGAGATGTCAGTTGGAGGTGTCATGGGATGGCTTACCGGTCAAAGGCACAAGCATGTAACGTCAAAGGAAATGCCCACCATAGGAATAAAATTTGATCATGAATGTCTTCTCAGAAACCCAAACCACAAAGTATGTTTCCCTTTGATAGGGGCTTGTGGCAGGGAATTAACAATACCTGTTGTACACATGGACAAGGCAGAGAAGTTTAAAGAACTCTTTATTTTAGCTTACTGTAAGGGACAACCTTTTGCCAAACCGTAACTTTCAGACAAATGTTTCACAAGTTGAGATTTCGTTTAATATTCTTGTTGTTTTTTTTCGAAATCAACCTTGTTAAGTTAGTAACATTAAAAAACATTGAGTTAAATTATTAGTGTCACGCCATGGTATTGCGGATTCAAATTCGTTACAGTCAGCCCTTATTTGGGACAAGTAAAGTGTATGGAGAGGGTTTACAATTACGAGAACCACTGAGTATTTTTATAAAATATAAAACAACGGTAACTCCGAAAATAAACATTTTAATATCTTCTAGCTTTCCTGATGATGACTAAAACTTAGTCAAAAGCTAGAAGATATTAAAATGTTTATTTTAGAAGTTACTGTTGTTTTATAGAATTTACAATCCACAAAAGGTTTATAACACTTTTTTTTAAATATCACTCTATTATATAACCCACTATCACGTAACAACCTATTTCGTTTTTATTTGATGCAAAAAAATGTATATATAAAATAGACAATTTCTCAAAAGTAAACAGTAACATTTATCCCGAAATACTGTGGTGTGAAACTAGAATCACATAATGGTTGTTAATTGTTATTGATATTTGTGACAAGACCTAGTTATTATTAATAGTTTCTTAACATGCTCATAAAAAATTTGTCTTATAAGTCTTCAGTTTATATTCCTATTCAACACCCCCCATAGCAATGTCAATGTGTCACACTACGATTTCACCATTACTTGCACAGTTGATAAGCACATGGTACAACTCCAGTGCATCCCTCCAGTGAGAAGGCTTTTCTAATGAGTTACTCTCCACAATATAAGTAAAATATCTTTGGAAGTCATTTTGCCCAGTATAGTCACTGATTATATGCTCTCTAGCATACAACTTTTCTTCCTCAGGAACAGGCAGATGCAAATTAGATCGACCATTGTGAAGTTCAGGGAGGTAGTATAAAGAATCTGGTCTCCCTTGCAAAGTATCATATCTTGATTTTCGAATATAATGCGAATTCCAATTTTCCTTCACTTCATTTAAATTCTCTTGTAATAGTGCAGCAAAACAAAACCAGAGACACTCTGTATGGAGGGACAGTGTAAGGTCTAGGGTACCTACATCCACAAGGTCTTTAAAAAAGTTCATCCACCATGATGTTTGGTCTTTCCTTAGAAATGACCACCAGCCTTCAATCCTCTGGTTAGAAGGGGAAGATACATACCTATGACTGTTTGGATCATTTCGGAAAAATGTTTGGATGGCAGCAGCAAGGCCATTTTCTGTGCCAAGATCGGTAATAAAATCAATGGGACAACCATTATACTGTTGCACAGCCTCTAAATAGTACATTCCTATGTTATTAGGTTGATTGTTAGATTGCATAACATACAACCAAAGAATCTTCCGGCTCCACCCATCTATGCACCCATGGATGGGGAAGCCGTATGGTTTTAGTTTGTCGTATCCGTCGCAATGCCACGAATAATTAGGGCCTGGATTCCGATAAACTCTTCTCTTCAATCTGTGCCTTGATCTTTCTTGTACACCTTCCGGATCTAGCTCTTGCAATAATTCCGCGACAACAACTCTGGGCACTGTTATTCCGTTCATCTGAAGAGTATGCCATATCGCGCAGTAGCCTCTGCAACACCCTGGGCCATCCAGTAAAGATCTTACTGCATCACGGACAACGTCAAGGTCATAATCGCTATTTTTTCGTTGAAGACCGTACTTTTTAATTTGACGTTTTAATGTACTCAAGCTCATCTCCTTGCCATGAAATTTCTGAAGAAAGTTTAGAATCTCTTCATAATGAAATCCTCGGTGAAAATAAAAACGTATGATCTCTTCCTCATCATTTAGATCATTGGTTTCATCACTATTTTCATACTCCTCTTCGAACCCTATATTATTCGCCGCCATGTTGGATGTTAAGAATGAGGAATCTGGTAACTAGAACCAAAGAAAATCTACTTCCGCCGTGAGATCTTCAATTGTTGCCGTGGATTTTCAAAGTTGCTGTGAGATGTTTAATTGTTGCCGTGGATTTTCAAAGTTGCCGTGAGATTTTTAATTGTTGCCGTGAGATTTTTAATTGTTGTCGTGGATTTTCAAAGTTGCCGTGAGATTTTTAATTGTTGCTGTGGATTTTCAAAGTTGCCGTGAGATTTTTAATTGTTGCCGTGGATTTTCAAAGTTGCCGTGAGATTTTTAATTGTTGCCGTGGATTTTCAAAGTTGCCGTGAGATTTTTAATTGTTGCCGTGGATTTTCAAAGTTGCCGTGAACATTCAATGCAGATGTTGCCGTGTAATATAAATGTTGTGCCGTGTACGTTTCAAACTGTTGCCGTGACACCTGTGGACCACCGTACTTTTCTCCTTTTTTTGTTTGTGCATATTGAGCAACATTTTTGCTCCCAACCATTTTATCGGACTTTCGTTTTTTCAATACATCTAACAAGCATAAAGGAGAAACTATTAATATGAAATATGAATTATATTAATTAAACTCATATGAACAGCAATAATAATAATAGTAATAATAATTTTTAATAATAATAAGTAAAAGTTTGCATCATAATCAATCAAGGTACCTTACCTTCATTGACATTGTCTTTGATATCACCATTGAGTGATATCCCTGCAGAAAAATAAACACACACGTACTTTTAGTATTTTTGCCCAAGTGAATATAACAAATCTTATGCAAGTTGGGCAAATTTGACGTATTAAGGCTGTTATATTCATAATACACATAATTAATTTTCATAATATTTTTATTTATCTACGTTTCGACTATATTTCAAATATAGTCGAAACGTAGATAAATAAAAATGTTATCGATTTTTGGAGTTTCACTTGTTTTGTATTGTAAAGAAACGTGTTTAATTGGGTACATTTCATCCAATAGTTATTCTAACCAATAACATCTCCAAACAATTCTTGTTAATATGCTCCGTGTTTTGGTTATCTTTAGTAAGGTGTCGAATTTTGGAGGGCGGCGCTGGATAGAGGTTGAGAAAATTTTAATTTGATGTGAGTCAATTGTAATGTGATGTGAGTCAATTTTAATGTGATGTGAACAAAATTTATTTGGTGGAAGATAAATACATACAGGGTGTATAGAAAAACTGAACAGATTTGAGATTGCTCTCAATTACGCAGTATGCGAAATTATGCGGTTTTTACCATGGAGATTGTAAATAATAGTAGAGGAGGCAGCTAATGCAGGGGGGGAATTCAAGTCCCTGATATAAAATAGTGCTCTCATTGCTGCTGATTTGAAATTCGTCACCAATGGGAACACTAATACACATCCGGGACTTGAAAATATATATATATATATATATATATATATATATATATATATATATATATATATATATATATATATATATATATATATATATATATGTATATGTATATATGCATATGTATATATGTATATGTATATGTATATATGTATATATGTATATATGTATATAT